ATTTTCCAGGAGCGGGTGAGGATGACAACCACCTTCCCGGCCCCCCGGCCCCCTCCACCAAAAGGCCAAAGGAAACGCCCTCTCCCCGGGGAAGGAGGGGGGGGGCAGCGGCCGGGCCGCCCCATCTCTCCCCCCGCCGCAGCCTTTTGATGTGAGCTGCAGAGTGGCTGGTGGTCCCTGCGCATCCCCCCTGCCCCCTTCCCAAAACACACACATTGCTGGCATTCCTCTGTTATCAGATAGGTAATCAAACTGCAGCCCATTGAATTAGCTGCATACCTCCTGCATCTGAAAGGAAGGGGCCCAGAGCCCCTGTCCCACACCACACACAAAGCCGGAGCCTTCCCAGGCCTCCACACACACACACACACACACACACACATACACACACCCCCCAAAAAATAAAGAGAGGAAGGGGGGGATTGGAGCGAGCCGGGGATGCTGGGGATGAGGGGGAGCGCAGGGGAGGGCCGGGGCCGGGAGCCACCGGCCAGCGAGAACAAAGGGCTGGCGGCGGCCGCGCTCCCGCTGCCCAAATTCCAGGAGTTCCAGGCCACGGTGGGGGGAGGAAGGGTGGCCGGCATGGCCGCGGCCCCTCTGACCCCCTGCAGCCCCTCTGCACATCAGCCCTGAGCCCAGCTCGCCCGCTGCGGGAGAGCTGGGTCTTGCATGTTGGGTGCTGGGGTTTGGGGTCTGGATGCCATAGTGCAGCTGAGGGGGGTCAGTTCTGGGGGGTAGTTTTGGTACGGGGGGGTGTAGGGTGACCCTGGGCTCTCTCTGGGCTTGGAATCACAAAACATCACTATCCTCATCATAAAACTGTTTTAAAGCATATCCTAGCACAAGGATTTCTCTTGTCATCATTAGGGTCCAGAGTTAACCAGTGGGCCAAGGAACAGAAGCAGAGCTGGCTCAGCTTCACCCAGCTCTCTGCGACCCCCCCGGGCACCCCCTCGCCAGGTATTACAGCAGGCACCTCTCTGCTTTCCCACCACTCACCCCGCACCCCGGCAGCTCCGTGGTTATTTACAGCAGACAAAGACGCAGCGCACGAGCGGCCATGAGCACCCCACGGCACTGGGTGTCCCCCACCCTCACTCCTTCTCCTTCCCCACCTGCACATGGGTGCCTTCATCCCTCCTCTTCCTCCCTCCCAGCACATCCCTCAGCACAGATCCCCAGCATCAGACTCATTTCCCCTCCCGGAGAGGTGACACCGTAGAACACTCCAAATCCAGCCACTGCTCCCCAAACCTCCAGGCTCTGCTTCTCCCCCACCCTGCCGGGCTCCGGAGGGGCTCAGCCCGCCCCGGGGTCACCATTGTCCCCGCGGCCTCCCCAGCGTGACACAAGGGGACGTTTATTCCCAGCCAGCCCCGGTCACTCAATCAAACCATCTTTGTGTCCGGAGGGGCCTGGGGCGGAGCGGCCACTGCACCTCGCTCCCACCAGCGCCGGAGCCTTGCGGCCGTTTAAACTGAAATCCCTCGGAAAACCAGCGGGGTCGGGACGCTGCGGCTGCAGGAAGGTGCTGAGCTGGGCCAGGGCTACGGCTGGGCCGTGACCACAGCGTTTTGGGCAGCCCGACCCCACCGCAGCCAGGCCCCGTGCCTCAGTTTCCCTCACTCTGCGGAGGGGAAGTGGCCCACAGGGACTCAGAAAGATGGACCCCCCCAGCAGGTCTGTGCCCCTATCGCTGCACCCCACCTTTGTCTGGGGGTTCCCTGTCTGGGGTTCACCCACTGCTGCACCCAGGGCACCCCAACCATCACGCTGCCCCACTGGCCTCTGCACCCCCAGAACCGCAGCCTCCCTGTCCCCAAAAATCTCTTGTTTTGCTCAAGCCAGCCCTGTGCTGCTGACTTTGATGCATCAGCTGGCCTGGTCGGGGCACAGAGCCCCCCGCAGAGCCCCCCACATCCCGTCACCACAACCCAGCTTCGCCCCACCACAACCCCCAAGGACCCATCCCAGGGCAGCAGCACAATCCGGGGGAGGGAGCGTCCCCAGCCCTCCACACCCCCAGCCCCGCGGGGCTCAGGCTTGGCCCAGCCGGTGCAGAGCAGCCCCTTCCCCAGCTCCTGCACTGGCAATAAGCCGCTGTGCCGGGGCTAATGCTCGCCCAGTTTTTCAGGGTACGGCTCCGATTGCCACCGGGCGATGCCATCACAATCCCGCTGGGATGCGGCCGCCTGAGCCCAGCTCCGAGCCCTGTTCCCAGCAGGTCTCCCCGCCGTTGGGTGTTGCCCAACAGCAAACAACCCCCAAAACAGATTTCGGCAGCATCAAGCGATGCCCCAACCCCCCGCCGCAGCAGGGCCAGCTCAGCTCCCCACTGCTGGCCACGAGGCCAGAAGGGAAACGTCCCTTTCCTTCCCAGCCCACATCTGGATCCATCCCCGAGCAAAGCTCTTCCCTCTCCCCAAACCACACAGCAAATCTTTCCCCCGTGTCGGCAGTTTGAGCACCGGTGACTGCGCTGCTGCTATTTTTTGGGCTCGGGGGCCTACGGCTCGAAGCAGGAGTTTGCCCGTGGTCCCTTCCCACGGCGCAGCCGCCCTGCGAGCGGCCGGTGGGTCCTCGCTCAGCTCCAGGGGCTTGGTGCAGAGATAAATTGGGTGATGCCTGCGGGAGCCCATCGGCGAGAGCACGGGGGATTTAACAAAACACGAGCAGGGCTTTCCAGTATCTCCCTACTGTCATCCGTAGCAATAACCCCAAAGATTGTTTTCCCCCGTTCAACTAAAACCAAACTAAAGCCACTTTCCTGCCAAAGTAACAACGCTTGCTCTTAGTTTTCCACCATCAACCAGCAAAATGAAACACTACTAAAAAAAAAAAAAAAAAAAAAAAAAAAAAAAAAAAAAAAAAA